AGATTGTGGAATGTGGCTGCTTCTACCCCGTTGGCTGGGGCAACCACAGGTGATTCAAGCAACCTCCACCTGGGCCTGTTGAACTCCACCAGGAGGCAGCCCCAAAGTTCCACACATCTGGACATCTGGGGCCTTGGACAGTGATAGGGTCAGCACATGGAGATTGAATCTATGTCTGAGGTGGATACACATTAACTTAGCTCACAAGCTTAATAAATAAACTGTAACCCAACTCATTAATGTATACCAGCCAGTGTGTGGCAGCCAAATCCTTCAAGGCATACAGGCCCCAGAACAAAGGGGATTAACAAAGAGCAGATGAAAACAATTCTAGCCAGTAAGCTAAAGGAGAAATCTGGGGAATTCTGAGAAAGATGTCTTTGCTCTGTAAAAAGGGACTAACAAAAATTTTGCATCCAGTATTGGCTGAGTGGCTCTCATTGGACCACAGCCTCTCACATGACAAAATTATAAAAAGCAACTATTAAAACACTGGAGAGTGATCAAAAGACATGGCTATTGGAGTCAATACTTGGAAGAACGGACTAGCACTGGATAAGTTTGTCATTTTTTGCAGCTTTTTGCATAGGGGAAGCCCCTAATCAGGGTCATGATGGGTGGTTAAAACTAGAATATAAGCCCACAGTTGTACTGGCATAAGAAACCAGAGGGCAGAGTTCTGGTGACCATATAGCTGATAAATGAGGAGGAAGTCCTAGAAAGGAGAAGGAGCCACAAATGGGTAGCCCCAGATTCTATGTGTAGACTCCTCAAATTTCTGAACCCCATATGTATGGGACAGACTCCAAGCAGCACAGGTAGGGCTAACATATCTGAACTAAGAGTTCAGGTCCCATCCAGCAGATGGGACAGTATGTGCAGTTTGAGAGTTCAGCCAAGTTAACTGCCTGCTAAGACAAACACAAAAAGCAATACTTCTCAGAAGAATAGAAGGAATTCAGAGTCCCGACACCATACATTCACAATGTTCAGGATACAGTGCAAAGGTACTTGACATTAGGAAAAAACAGGAAAATGTGACCCACACAAACAAGAAAAAGGAATCAGTGGAGACCAACCTCAAGATAACTCAGTTGTAAACATTAATAGACAAGGATTTTAAAGTAGTTGTATAACCATATTTAAGAATATAAATGAAATATGCTCACAATGAATGAAAAGATAGGAAACCTCAGCAGAGAAACAGAAACTTTAAAAAGACCACAGTGGAAATTCTAGCATTGAAAAATACAACATCTAAAAGAAAAAGGCTAACAAGAAGCAATAGCCCATTTTTTTGCCTTTGGCCATAGTCAGGATGTGATGCTTATTTTGCCATAGTCTTCTTCTGGTCATGAGGATAGTTAGCTGAGGACAAGGCCCATGTGCTGTGGTACATATGGAAGAGCAAGAATATAGGAAGGGACTGGGTATGGTGGCACATGCCTGTAATCCCAGCACTTTGGGAGGCCAAGGCAGGTGGATCACTTGAGGCCAGGAATTTGATGCCAGCCTGGCCAACATAGTGAAACCCCATCTCTACTAAAAATACCAAAATTAGTCAGGCGTGGTGGTGGGCACCTGTAATCCCACCTACTCGGGAGGCTGAGGCAGGAGAATTGCTTGAATCTGGGAGGCAAAGGTTGCAGTAAGACGAGATTGCGCCACTGCCCTCCAGCCTGGGTGACAGAGTGAGACTCCTCTGTCTCAAAACAAAACAAAACAAAACAACACAAAAATATATATATATATATGAAGGATTTGGATCTCTGAGCCACTATAGATTAGGTTAACCTAGGAACTTACCTGCCAGCAGACATCTTGTACTGGTAGAAAAAGAAAATGCACTTATTCAAGCAACTTCTGTTTGGAGCTTATGATACTAATATGAGAAAGAAAGCATTGTTAGGGCTTAGAAAGTTATACCCCAAAATATGCCACTCTGGACTTCAAATTGAGAGAACCTGGGGAGCCGGAAATGTAAGAAAGGGTCTTCTCTGAAGTTCCCCTATCTACCTAAAGGTTGTATCCTCCAGAAGATACTCAACTGTTGTGAATCCCTTTCTCAGACATCTCAACTCAAATAGTTGCATCCTGAAGGAAGACTAGAGTTGACACCACACCAAGCCCAGACAAACTTTGTCTCAGACTGTTGTCTCTTCTTTGGGCCCATTCATCCCCCCTTAAGATTATTTGCTCATCCTGTAAATTGCCTTACATCCCCCACTTCCTTCTTCCCTATGAAGAAAGTATTTAAGCTTTAGCCATCTGGCCCTTCTTTGAGTTTCATACTTTGTTTGACTCCACACTTGCCACACTGGCACATAATACCTCTGTATGCCTTTTCTCCTGTTTTCTTTTTTAAAGGACTTTACACAGATGATTAAGGATTTTAAAATGAGGAGATTATTCTGGATTATCACAGTGGCCCCTAAATGCAAACACATGTATTGTTATTTGACCACAGAAGAGGAGAAGGTGTTGTGACTGCAGGGGCAGAGATTGGTAATGCAGCCATCTGAAGCTGGAAGAGTCAAGGAATGCTACTCCCCTAGAACTTCTAGAAGGAGAGCAGCCCACCTTCATTTTGGTGCAGTAAAACTGATTTGGGACTTCTGGCCTCTAGAACTGAGAGAATGAATTTCTGTTGTTTTAAGCTGCCAATTTGTGGTAATGTGTTAACACCTGCCATAGGAAATGAAGCTAGGTATAGTTACAAGGAGGACCATCAGATTCATTTAAATCTCTCCTTTCACTTTATTTCAGAGGGTTTGTAATTTGGGAGGGCAGAAGATAACCAAATTACAAAAGAAAAATAAACTGTAACTGGAATAACAACCAAAACCTCCATTCATGTTTTGTCTACTCTATGATATTTATGGTTTCTGTAAAGCTGGGAAAAGATAGAGGTGATTTCTGAATGCTCTTTTTAGTTTTTTGAACTTGTTCCTTCATTGAATTCTCAGCTTAAGTGATGCTCTCAGTTGTCCTAGGGTTAAACTGTCAAGAATTTAGATACTGTTTTTAGTTGAAAGTTTTAGGCACCTAAATTTTATTCATGTCAGAATTCTACCTAACATACACCAGACATTGTAACCTTCAGAAGGAGGTAAAATCATTTTATTCAGGCTGCTCCTCTAAGAAATTGCTCTCAATTATACCAGCCTTTCTTTCCTTTCTATCCTTCTTAACAAAACAGAAAAACCCAGTTTTTTTTTTTTTTTAAATAAATGATTTATCAAAAGAAACCATATATGTTAAGTGGCTTTTTGGGGGTATATTTAGTTGCTGAAAGTAGATAACATATGGTGTTTAATACTCCTGGACCACTCTGGGTCTTTTCTTTGAGGGTAAAAAGGGGTAGAGGTAGGGATAGGGATGATTGTCTCAGATTTAGAGCAAGGCTTAATTGCTTTTTTCAAAGACTCATGTCTTTAATTATGAAGCAAGCAAGCTGACATACATTTATTGCATGGTGAAATCTTGCATCTCATCTAGTCTATCTTGTAGCAATTGCTTCTGAACAGATGTTACCTGAAACACCTTTGTGCAGTTGGTGGAATGCTAAAATTTGTCATGCTTTTATTATTGTTGTCTTGAATTAACTCTACTTTATGACATAACTTTATTGCTGTGTCCTAGAATCTTTATATATTTATTGCCTTATAAATTGGATTTAAAATTGGCTTTTTATATAGAATGTAAATTAACATGTGTATAACTTGTTTATGCTTGCAGAATAATACAGGAGAAAACTGCTACGTATTACACTAATGTAATTGTCTTTAACTCAGCACATAGTATCCTCTAAACTAGGAATCAAATGAATGCTAAAGAATATGCTTATCCTTACACTCTTGCTTGTTTATCTCAGAAACTAATTTGACTTTTAGATCTATAAAATATAGATTAAACATAACCTTTTACTTCATGGGATATTAAGGATCAAAGCATGGGCTTTCTTTGAACAGGATCTACAAAGGTAACTTTTCTCTCAGTAGCAGCAGGATGGCATTGAAATACCTTACCATTGGGAGTAATTTTTCTCAAATAGGAAATTGAATAGTCTTTATTAACTTAGGGGAGAATTTAGGAGTTTAAATAAGCTTTGGTCCTGAAACATTCATGTTACTAGTTACTTAGTGAAAGCTATTTGGAAATGCTTACCATAGATTTTATTCTTCAAAAGACCCACTGCTATCTTTTCTTACAGTTTTTAGTAGAAGAAGCATTATGAGTAACATTATGAGCAGTGACTTGAACCACTCTCAGGGGTTGAATCCCAGCAATATCACTTATTAGCTGTGTGAACTGAGCAATTACTTAACCTTTCTCTGTGCCTCCCCTTTCTCATGTGTAACATGGGGTTGTCATGAAGATTAAAAGTTATGTTTTGGGCCTGGAATAGTACCTGGCTCATTGTAACCTCTATGTAAATATTTGCCATTTACATGATTGTTGTTTTTGTTATCATTAGTAGTAACAGTAATCATAGTACAATTTTTGCCTATACCTTAGGGCATTAGGAATACATTGGATATTTGAATAGCTTTCTAATGCTGGAAAACTTAATTGAACCAGGCTTTTTCCTCTTGGTGTGGTGGAGGCAGAGGCATTCTGTTCTTAGTTCTTAACCTGGCGTACCAGGTAACATTTGGATTGATGCAGAGTTCTGATCTGATGGCTGAATGGTCAGAGCAAGTTTCTGAAGCTTTCTTAGGGGCCTGTTCTTTATTTCTAAAATGGGGGTAATATGATGATGAAACTTGGGGTACAAATGTAACTTACAAAAAAACCTATAAAGGAAACAACTTTAAACTTAGGAAAAAAAATTCTTGTGATACTCCAATATGGACTTGAATGATAATAAAAATAATGTTACTAATATATGTACAGATAAAAAACTAAGTATAACTCTTTATGCCTATCACTTTTCACAGCTATAAAACTAAAACAGATTTACATCTACAATCCAAAACAAAACTATAAAACCCATAAAATTCAAATTAACGGCAACATTAATTTAATGCGATTGATGATGTTTTGCTGAAATTAAGTCATCATTATTGGATTTAATAGTGGAAAAATATGTGTATATTTTGCTGTTCTTCTTTCTATCAATTTGATTCTTGGGTGGAAATGGAATCCCAGAGGCTGAGGAAGATATGTGTAGACTGAGGAGTTCACAGATAGCCTTACACTGTTAGTAGGGGCCTGTCATCAGACACCATTATCTTTTTCATAGTTCTTGGCTTGAGGCTGTAGATGAAGTTGTGAACTGTTATACACCTGTTTTTAAAAAGAAAATAGCCATATGTAAACATTTTTTAGTAAATGTTATGAAACTGTTGAAGCAGCAGAAAAAAATCAAAACTCTTATACTACCCGCTTCTATATTCATTTTTCTCTTGAAATCTAATTTTCCGTACCTGTGGGTGCATAGTTCCCAGGATAGGGTGATTTTGGAATTATAAATAGGCTTTTGGAACTGAATTCTTCCTAAGTGGAAGAGCTTGTGAAAATCTATTGTGTCATGATGTTGCTTGGCCCTCATTGGGTACCATATTGGTAGTAAATACAAAAGTATTTACAAAAGTAAAACCAAAAGTTCCTGACAGAACATGGTTATAGAGTGGGTCACTCACAATGTCCAGAATATGCTTACTTTAGTTCTAATGTTTAAGATGATCTTGAAAAAACGTAAGACTTAAGTAGAATTTATGGAAGGCATCTGTAGACCAGTTTGGGGTACCCAGAGATGACTTGAGTCAAGAAATTACGTGTGTACCTGAACCAGGCAAATGTTTTTCACCTTAGTCCTTTGTTTAGTGATGAGATAAAAGTGATTAGTAAGTATTTATCAGTAGTGAAGGATGTATACAATGTGTTTCAAAACAGTTTGCTTCTAATAGTTTTTTTGGGTAAACAAGAAACTTGCAATCTTTAAAAAATATATTTTATATATGTGCCATACAAAAGAGGTGTAAAACATTGTATACTCACCAATAAGCTTAAAAAAAAGAAATATCATAAATTCCATTGAAATGTTCATTTTCTCCCTTCCTATCTTTATCTCCTTTTAATCTTTACTCTTCATTTCCTGGGTTTATAGGGCTTTTTTTTTTTTAATTCAATTTTGATTTTTTAAAATTCAATTTTGATTTTTTAGGGTTCCAGTTTATATATATATACACACACACACATAAATGCACATATATACATATACACATATATACACATATATGTGTGTATATATATGTTGCTAATATATGTACAGATATAAAACTAAGTATAACTCTTTATGCCTATCACTTTTTACAGCTATAAAACTAAAACAGATTTACATCTACAATCCAAATATATATATAGATAGCTAGATAGCTAGGTAGATATATGTATCTTTCCCTAAAAGTAAATCTGTGAATGGAATTAATACTCCGTAGCTTTCTGATCTCTCCATCTTTGAGGATCATGGCAGATCTTAAATATTGGAAAGGAAGGGGGAGACTATCATTTAATGTATCAAATGTGAGTTCATTCTGCATGCTGAGGGATTTGGGATATAACCAAGCAGCTGTGGTCTTAAGTATGCACCCTCTTGAGTTGAAGATGACTGAATACCTGTTCAGAGTACTGTAGTTCTCTCAAAGGAGTTATGGTGTAGAATTTCTTGAAGCCCTTAGTAAAAGCCCTTAGTGGATTAATTGTGAGATCCATAATGCTGCATTTATTTGGTTAATTTTATTATGAAGTATCTTCCCAAGATATAGCGAGTTTATCCCGTAATTGCTGCTGCATTTTTTCTGAGGTTGGCTGTTTATTTGGGTGTCATAAAATGAAACTTTGTAACATTCAGTTTTTAAATAAAAGATTTGCAAATTGGTGACATTAGTTATGGACTTTACTATAGAATTAAACTGTTTTTGTTTATTAAAACGTTTGATTGAATTCATTGCATAATGACAATTACAATTCTTTTTTAATGAAAAAATTGACAGCCTGGGAAATGAACATGAAAAATGGAGTGCATATAATCTGCATTGAGAAATTCAATGTGACGATTTCACTTCTTTATAAAAAGGTGACGGTCTCCAATTAAAACCATGTTCTAACTCCACTCGGTCTCTTTTGAGGGTATAATTTTGCTCTTATTGTTATGTTATATTGAACCTGCTTGTAGTTACTTTATGCATGTGTTTGTAAGCTTTTGGAAGTCACTTTCTCTGTGGTGCCTGGTATAGACTTGTGCTTACAGTAGGAATCTGAATGTTTGGCTAATTGAAAATCGAAACAAAGTACTCTTGTAACTTTATATTTCCTGGTTCATTAACCCATTCATGATGAATTTGTTTAAATGTTATTAATATACCCTAATTATTCATTTCTTTTTATAAAAGATCCTAGTGGTGGTGGGCAAGGATATGTAAAGACTACCAGAAACATATGTGGGTTATTGAAGAACTTGGGCCTGGCATTGTGGCTCTGAAGTCCCACCCTTAAACTGTGATAAAAAGACTTGAGAGAGACTCAGACATGGCTGTATATCCTTGGGCAGATTATCAATCTTTGTGCCTCTGTTTTCCCTTCTGTAAAATGGAAGTAATTAGTCTCTATGCTTATAGATTGTTGTAAAGATTAGTTGAGTTAACACATGTTAACTCAACATGTTAGCTTAGGCACAGCACAATTAATATGTGACAGCTATTATTAATAGGGAAGATCTCATCACTGTAGTGTTAAATTCCCAGTTGTTGACAACATTTTAACCTCTTCTTCTTGTTTCCTACTTCCTTTCTCCTTATAGCATTTTTTTTTTTTTTCCTGGGGGACACTGGCATTGTGTCCAGGGACTCAGCCATTCATTTCGGTGGGACACACACCGGAGGTTTGTTTGGTGCCTGGATATATTCCCTTCCTTTCTGTTTCATGTAGACCTACAGTCTCTTGACATTGCCTCTCTTTCTCTGTCTGCCTCCTGCTGTCAACATTTGCTCCACACTAAACCCACACTCCACAAAAGTAACCATGGAGCTCCCTTTGAACTGGGATGCCTTCAAACTCCTCGCTTCCTCACACCTCACATAAGGTAGAATATCAATAAATAATAGAACCTTTGGCCTCCTTGTTCAGTTGCCTCAGATCTCCAAACCTGGAGCAACCTGGCAGGCTTCTGTGGCTGAACTGGGTTCCTGCATCCTGGTGGAAACCACGCCCAGCTTTGTGAACTGATGCCCTTAGACATTGGGTATCTATGTGTCCTCAGTGCTGCTAGATAGCAATCATCATCACAATAACTGCATTTGTTCAGCTTGTACAATGGGCTGGGCAGTGTTTTAATCTCTTATCCCTCACACAGTGCTTTGAAATGGGCACTCTCCCTACTGTTACTTTGCACATGATGGAGTTGACACAGAGAGAGGTTAACTGGGAATGGGGTATGATGGGTCCTGGCTTTTAACTCTCTCTTTGGTCATCTCCTTTTCCATTTCTCACAGCATTTATGCTAAACCTTTATCACTGTCTTTACCTTATCTATGGGCCTGATTCTTTTTTGTCCCAAATAGTTGTTTTCAATTGAAAAAGCGGCCGGGCATGGTGGTTCATGTCTATAATCCCAGCACTTTGTGAGGCTGAAGTATGTGGATTGCTTGAGTCCAGGAGTTCAAGACCACCCTGGGCAACATGGTGAAACCCCGTCTGTACAAAAAAATACAAAAAAATTAGCCTGGCATGGTCGTGCATTTCTGTAGTCCCAGCTGCTTGGGAGTCTGAGGTGGGAGGATTGCTTGAACCCGGAAAGCTGTGGTTGCAGTGAGCCATGATTGTGTCACTGCACTCCAGTCTGGGAAACAGAGCAGGATCCTGTCTTAAAAAATAAACAAACTGAAAAACAACGTCTGTACTTCTTAAAAAGTCCAACAATGTAGGAGTACAAAGGGAAATTCCCTAAGCCTCCCTTCCATCCTAGACCACCAATTAAGGTACCCCCCACCACCTGCCATGATGACATTTATTATTTTTTCTTTTTTAATGTGAAAGAAAGTACCAGAGAAGTAAAGAAACAAAAGATGGCTACTCCATAGGGAGAGCAGCTCCAAGGGCTGCTGGTTAGCTTATTATTTTCTTTTATATCCTTTTTTTTGGAGACAGTGTCTCACTCTGTTACCCAGGCTGGCGTGCAGTGGTACAATCATGGCTCAC